AGAATTAAAATGATTTAAAATAAAATAAATAATTTAAAAAATCAAAAACCCGACTGCATAAAAAGTCAATTTAAAAGTAATGCACTAAAATGACCGAAATAAGATTGAGAATAGAAAAAAAATTAAATAAACTATGTATAAACAAAGTTAACTCTACTTCGGTTTAACAGACAATATTATGAACGGAAAGCGAAACCAATTTATTTTCTTTCTATTAGTAACTTAACATTCAACTTGGCTATATACCTATAACTTAACTTGGAGATGAGGCTGCAATCGTCAACAGATTTGACAGCATACAGGCAACTGAACAGACAGATCTCCAAATGCATACGGCGAGACTTACGGAACTTTAATACTTCTCGTATTAAAGAAGCGATCGAGCGGAACCAGGGCTCCAAAGTCTTTGCCAGAGATCTGTCTGCCAGAAAGAGCCAACTGTCAAGGCTGAAGACTGAGTGTGGCAACATCGTTTCCGGGACACCTGAGATTTTGAGTGAGATTGAGAGGTTCTATGGGCAGCTGTACACATCATCGTTGGAGCCACACGCAAGTGTGAGTAACGATCCAAGAGCAAGTCTTATCCGACACTATTCCGATGATATCCCGGACGTCAGTCTAAGCGAGATTAGAATGGCTCTCCAGCACCTTAAAAACGGCAGGGCCCCAGGCGAGGATGGAATTACAGCGGAGCTTCTGAAAGCGGGTGGAACACCGGTACTTGAAGTCCTTCAGAAGCTCTTCAATTCCGTCCTCCATGGTGGCACTACTCCAGAGGCGTGGAGCAGAAGTGCGGTGGTCTTGTTCTTTAAGAAAGGCGACAACGCTCTCTTAAAGAACTACAGACCGATTTCCCTTCTGAGCCGCGTCTACGTGCTGTTTTCGAGAGTCATTACGAATCGTCTCGCACGCAGACTTGACGACTTCCAGCCTCCCGAACAAGCCGGTTTCCGAAAAGGCTTCAGTACCATAGACCACATACATACCCTGCGGCAGATTGAAGAGACTGAAGAGCACAATCTGCCACTTTGCCTGGCGTATGTGGACTATGAGAAAGCCTTTGATTCCGTCGAAATTTGGGCGGTGCTACAGTCCCTTCAGCGGTGCCAAGTTGACTGTCGGTATATCGAAGTGCTGAAGTGTTTGTACAGTAGGGCTACGATGGCTATCCGAGTACAGAACCAGAGCTCGAAACCTATCCAACTGCAGAGAGGTGTAAGACAGGGTGACGTTATATCCCCGAAACACTTCACCGCTGCATTGGAAGACGTTTTCAAGCTACTGGACTGGAAAGGATACGGTATTGACATCAATGGCGAGTACATCACTCACCTTCGATTTGCCGACGATATAGTCCTTATGGCAGAATCGCTGGAGGACTTAAGCACTATGCTCAATGACCTCAATAGTGCCTCCCAACGGATAGGTCTTAAGATGAACATGGACAAAACAAAGATCATGTTCAATGTCCATGTCACACCTATGCCGGTAGTTGTTGGGAGCACTATGCTCGAAGTTGTTGACGAATACGTTTACCTGGGACAAATAGTCCGACTAGGTAAGTCCAACTTCGACCGAGAGGTCAATCGACGGATTCAACTCGGCTGGGCAGCGTTCGGGAAATTACGGCATATCTTTTCGTCAGGTATACCTCAATCTCTAAAAACTAGATTGTACAACCAGTGCGTGTTGCCAGTGATGACTTACGGATCTGAGACGTGGTCCTTCACTGCTGGCCGTATGAGGACGCTTAAGGTCGCTCAGCGAGCTATGGAGAGGGCTATGCTCGGAGTTTCTCTGCGTGATAGACTCAGAAATGAGGATATCCGCAGTAAAACCAGAGTGACCGACATAGCCCAACGGATTAGTAAGCTGAAGTGGCAATGGGCCGGCCATATAGCTCGAAGAACCGATAACCGATGGGGAAGAAAGGTTCTCGAGTGGCAGCCTCGTACCGGTAGGCGTAGTGTAGGGCGACCCCCCACTAGATGGAGTGACGACCTGGTAAGACATGCAGGAAGTCGATGGATGCAGGTGGCTCAGGACCGTGCTTTGTGGCATTACTTGGGGGAGGCCTATGTTCAGCAGTGGACTTGTGAAGGGCTGTAATGATGATGATGATGATATACCTATAACTTAGGCTTTCAGCTCATAATTATTTATTTTCCTATTTTATTTACAAGTAACGCCATAAATTATACTATATTGTTGAGTATAATGCGTTACTTGTGTTTAAGCGAAAACCGATACTAAAACTTTAGAACTTTATCATACCGCGATTCAGAATATCAAATCACCTATTCAACGCCATTTATATTAAAGGTGTCGAACTAATTCTATTGTGTAAAAGTTTTTGATGATATCTCGAAAACTATGCGACTTAGAAAGGTCGGTGTATTTTTTCCTAAAATAAGCAGTGTAAATTTATTACATTTTTTGATTCAAAACTTGAAAGTATACGGTTCAAAATTTCATCATCATCATCATTACAGCCCTTCACAAGTCCACTGCTGAACATAGGCCTCCCCCAAGTAATGCCACAAAGCACGGTCCTGAGCCACCTGCATCCATCGACTTCCTGCATGTCTTACCAGGTCGTCACTCCATCTAGTGGGGGGTCGCCCTACACTACGCCTACCGGTACGAGGCTGCCACTCGAGAACCTTTCTTCCCCATCGGTTATCGTTTCTTCGAGCTATATGGCCGGCCCATTGCCACTTCAGCTTACTAATCCGTTGGGCTATGTCGGTCACTCTGGTTTTACTGCGGATATCCTCATTTCTGAGTCTATCACGCAGAGGAACTCCGAGCATAGCCCTCTCCATAGCTCGCTGAGCGACCTTGAGCGTCATCATACGGCCAGCAGTGAAGGACCACGTCTCTGATCAGTAAGTAATCACTGGCAACACGCACTGGTTGTACAATTTCGTTTTCAGAGATTGAGGTACACCTGACGAGAAGAGATGTGTCGTATTTTCCCGAACGCTGCCCAGCCGAGTTGAATCCGTCGATTGACCTCTCGGTCAAAGTTGGACTTACCTAGTCGGACTTTTTGTCCCAGGTAAACGTACTCAACAACTTCGAGCATAGTGCTCCCAACAACTACCGGCATAGGTGAGACATGGACATTAAACATGATTTTTGTTTTGTCCATGTTCATCATAAGACCTATCCGTTGGGAGACACATTGAGGTCATTGAGCATAGTGCTAAGGTCCTCCAGCGATTCTGCCATAAGGACTATATCGTCGGCAAACCGAAGGTAAGTGATGTACTCGCCATTGATGTTAATACCGTATCCTTTCCAGTCCAGTAGCTTGAAAACGTCTTCCAATGCAGCGGTGAAGAGTTTCGGAGATATAACGTCACCCTGTCTTACACCTCTCTGCAGTTGGATAGGTTTCGAGCTCTGATTATGTACTCGGATAGCCATCGTAGCCCTACTGTACAAACACTTCAGCACTTCGATATACCGACAGTCAACTTGGCACCGCTGAAGGGACTGTAGCACCGCACAAATTTCTACGGAATCAAAGGCTTTCTCATAGTTCACATACGCCAGGCAAAGTGGCAGATTGTACTCTTCGGTCTTCTGTACAATCTGCCGCAGGGTATGTATGTGGTCTTTGGTACTGAAGCCTTTTCGGAAACCGGCTTGTTCGGGAGGCTGGAAGTCGTCGAGTCTGCGTGCGAGACGATTCGTAATGACTCTCGAAAACAGCACGTAGACGCGGCTCAGAAGGGAAATCGGTCTGTAGTTCTTCAAGAGAGCGTTGTCGGCTTTCTTAAAGAACAAGACCACCGCACTTCTGCTCCACGCCTCCGGAGTAGTGCCACAATGGAGGACGGAATTGAAGAGCTTTTGAAGGACTTCAAGTACCGGTGTTCCACTCGCTTTCAGAAGCTCCGCTGTAATTCGATCCTCGCCTGGGGCCCTGCCGTTTTTAAGGTGCTGGAGAGCCATTCTAATCTCGCTCAAACTGACGTCCGGGATATCATCGGAATAGTGTCGGGTAAGACTTGCTCTTGGATCGTTACTCACACTTGCGTGTGGCTCCAACGATGATGTGTACAGCTGCCCATAGAACCTCTCAATCTCACTCAAAATCTCAGGTGTCTCGGAAACGATGCTGCCACACTCAGTCTTCAGCTTTGATAGTTGGCTTTTTCTGGCAGACAGATCTCTGGCAAAGACTTTGGAGCCCTGGTTCCGCTCGATCGCTTCTTTAATATGAGCAGTATTAAAGTCTCCCACGCGTCCATCATTTTGGCCGAGGCGCGATGACGTGCGCCGACAAATTTTGTAAAAAATTATGTTAACTTAGATATTATAACTAATGATTGCCAATGATTGTAATTATAGATAAACTAAACTATGATAGCTACTAAACTATGTTTTATCAAAATACATTCTGACCTGGTACTGTGTTTTTGTATAAACAAAAGTTGGTAGTAGGTACTTACATTGATGTTTTAAAATTCCTCAACAACAAAAATTAGGATTTTGCCACCATCAATTTATTTATCCTTGGTAGATTAGTACATTCTGCTTTTACGAATTCGTCTTCCATGATGCCTTTTCAATAAAATTCGGAATAAAACTCAATAACCGTAATGATAACGTGAAAAATTTCTAAAAAGACTTAATTAGTGATACAGAATACTAATATCCTTAGGCTGGGTCAATGACGTCACTACAGTAACTAAATAATATAGCGGACAGTGTTTTGCAGATTTTTGGTACAGACAAAAAATATAATCTTAAAATTGAAATTAAAAATTTATAATGCAGTTTTATAAACAGGAATCAATATTTCTCGTTTACTTTTTACAAAATCTAATAATCATACATACATTTTTTGATTTTTTTTTACATGGTGTAAAATACCTTATTAAAATCGATTTAATCAGTAGCCATTCATTAGTTTTATTCACACCTAATTTTTTTAAGTTAATGAGAATAAATCACAGTCACGTTAATGTAAAACAGATAATACTTACCAGCGGTGGTCTTGTGAATACTACACTTTGCGAAGCTAAGTGTGCTTTTATAGCACTCATTTCTCTGGAAGCTGGACCCCAACGAGTATACAAACGCGAAATATATTGGTTAGTCACACCAAATTTGATTTCTTCGTCGAAAACACACTTCGGCTTGAATGTCCCTGGTGCTACAATCTTACATATCCCAAATTTGGCTGCGGTCGGCATGATTTCATTAAAGTAAGCAATCGGATCCTGTTAAATAAACAATAAATATTTTAATAGAATTGACATCGTAAATTTATAGTAACTAAGATATATTTTTTTTTACCAGAAACTGATCCTCAGTTGGGTAAAAAACTGGTGCGTCGACTAGTTCAGCTTTGCTATTATGACGGGGAAATGCTGCTTTTAGTTTTTCGGCTTGACAGCCTCCTCTATTTCTAGTACCAACATTGTTTGAATTCTCCTTGACAGGCATTGTAACAACTGGTTCAGGGTCAGGTCCTCTTGAAGTACTCGGAATTGCGCCGTCGTCGTTATTAATTACTGATTTTCGTAGACTATTCATATGTGCTTGACAGCCTCCTCTATTTCTAGTACCAACATTGTTTGAATTCTCCTTGACAGGCATTGTAACAACTGGTTCAGGATCAGGTCCTCTTGAAGTACTCGGAATTGCTCCGTCGTCGTTATTAATTACTGATTTTCGTAGACTATTCAAATGTGCTTGACAGCCTCCTCTATTTCTAGTACCAACATTGTTTGAATTCTCCTCGACAGGCATTGTAACAACTGGTTCAGGATCAGGTCCTCTTGAAGTACTCGGAATTGCGCCGTCGTCGTTATTAATTACTGATTTTCGTAGACTATTCAAATGTGCTTGACAGCCTCCTCTATTTCTAGTACCAACATTGTTTGAATTCTCCTTGACAGGCATTGTAACAACTGGTTCAGGATCAGGTCCTCTTGAAGTACTCGGAATTGCGCCGTCGTCGTTATTAATTACTGATTTTCGTATATTATTCAAATGTCCAAGCACAGAATTCTTAATGTTCGAATCTGTCGCTGAATTTAACTCCGTCATTACTATATCTGAAGGACTAGGAATCGGGTCAGCACTCAAAATAAATTTTTTTTTATGCGATAGCCATGACAACTTGAATTCAAAAATATTATTGCTATCTTTCGAATAAAAACTTTTAATTGGTTGAGGAGGTTGAGGTCGATTGTTTGATCGTGGACGAGGTAGGGGAAGTACAGATGAAGGTGGAAGTTCTGAGGACATACGTTCACCTCCCATATTGCCTGTGTTCACACTTTGTTTCCTAAACGCTTGTCTGCAACGCCTTTTACGTTTGTGACTATACGATGTATTCCATTGAACTGAGCTTGTGTTGCTGTCAGAACTGAATCCTTCATTTTGTGTAGAAAGAGAATTGTCACTGCTTGAGGGTGTTTTGCGTTCGCTACTTCTTTCAAAAACTCTGTTCACAAAATCACAATATTTGCATTTCATGCAACGTTTATCTAATTCTTCCTTTGGAGCCTGCAATACTTCTCTAGAGGTGGTATAACGCTTAGATGGACACGAAAAAGCTCTAACAGTGGATGTACTAGGCATGTCGAAGTTATTGGTGAAAATTTGTCGGCCTGCAACTGTTTGAAGCCGTGATGATTGTTTCGGCCTTGGAGGATGAGGAATTTTAAATCGATTTACATGTTTTTTTTGCTTTATAGTTTCTTGAATCCATGCATTAAGTTCATTAATACTACACCCTGCTGGCACAGTTTTTTCAATATTTTGTTCTCCATCAGTACTGGCCCAGTCTATAGTGTCTTCTACAAATTCAATAACTCTGGTGCCGCCTTGAACAGTTGGTACCTCTTCATTGGCTGTAAATTATACTAGTATAAATTAATGATCAAGTATTTAAAAAACAAGAGATCACACATTACAATCAACTATTAAGAACAAAAAAGTTGGTAGTTGCAGTTTGCTCGAAACCAAGTTGTAAGGCATTCCTTGGGAAGGCCTATTCATCAGTGGGTTTTTGAGGGCTGTAATGATAATGATTAAGAATAAGTGGACAAAATTAACCGTGAAAATAGGTATTACTATCAAAATTTAAGATAATATATATCTTTGAAAATTGAATCAATATCCACTCTTATGAAAATTCTAAATGTCATTATTTTTCTTGTAGTTTGATGATTCAACATAATTTACAGTGGCGGCGCCTCCATAGAAGCCGAAAAGTCAGGCTTGCCCTTTCAAAATGCTCAATAAATTATATCAACTAATAAATAACTCATAAACTATTTCAAATTTTCCGCGCGCTCCTCTGTTCTACACAGGTGACAAGTGAAGTTAAAAATTTGGTGAGGTTATGTTGTCATCTGATTCGAGAATATAAACACTATAGTCTCACGCCTACACTTTACACACGTATACATATGTTCAACGTGTATTTAGCGCGAGACACTACAATGTTTACGGATTCTCAAGATAAGGTGCCTATCTGCTTAGACGCTTTGAGATACTATATCGCCTACTATCTGCTCGTTCAAGTTGCCGCCAAAATCTCCCAAGGGCTGCGCAATGTGATGCATCAACATATTGTAAAGCTTCTTGTATGTATATATATATATATCTTGTACAATGAAAGATTATTATCACTTGATACTGAGATAAATGAAAACGTGGCTTACAAGAGAAACATTCAAGACAAAAATCTTTGAAAATAAATAAAAAATACGACCGAACTTAGTACAATATTTCCTAGAATCAAAAAATAGCGCGAACGAAAATGTTAGATATTGAAAAGTATTAACTAATTGAAATATCAAAATAAATTTTTAGTGTTACATGGAAACTATTAATAAACTCAATGATAAATTATTGTATAAAGTGTTGACGTTTCGATATTAATGTATGTTTCGAAATTAGTTGACATCTGATTCGAGAATATAAACACTGTAGTCTCACGCCTACACGTTTGTTAAGAGGATACCTTGAAAATGAATCGTAGTTTTGGGGGCGTGGCTTATTCCTTTGTCGGTGAAGCTCACGAACGACCGAAGAAGTGTCAAAATGAAAGTATGCAATGACTTCTTAACACTTAAACTGCCGTAAGTCACGTTTTAAATGCAATATTCCGTACAAAATGACTGACACGACAGCCAAAGGCTTAATACGCATATTATGAGATAGCTATACCGAGCACACGCTCGGAAACTGAGTTAAAAGTAAACTCCAAACAAAGTTTTTTTAATAAAACTACTTAATGGATTATTTACTATGCCTTAAAAATAATTCCACGAACTTATTCGTAAAAATATTGTGGTGTCATGGAGAAATGTAACTAATTAGAGCCTACTTTGCAATTTTTTTCTATGGAGAAAATTTAATGATATCGGATTTTCCTCTTATGCAATTCAAGATCATATTATAGTCAAAAATCATATACCAAAATATTGGTTTATAACCTATAAAACTTAAAAAATATGTGAAATAGAAAAACCACCAAACTTTCGAGGTATCACCTTAACATATAGATATGTTTAACGTGTACTTAATACGTACGTGTGTAGTACACGGACAAGCGAACGTTTGATTTTAATAATTTAAAATAATCAAATGAAAATATATTTTACATATTAATAAGAAAATCTATGAATACAGTAAAAATACATATATCTATTTACGGAGTTCAATCAATAAATGCTTGAAATATGTATATAATTTATTGCTTGAGATGTTTAAAGATTTTTTTCAAAGAAATGCAATAAGCAGTGTATTCCTTCACACAAAAATATTTTATTTACATGGTTTTTGATTACTACGTTATGTTTACAATCCACGATACTGTAATAAATAGTTATCCGAAAAATTAGCTTTGTTATCTTTCTTTGCCACCTCGATTACGCTCTTAAAGTATACGTCTTTTGACTACCCATACTGGTCACATAGTAGTTTAAGTTTATCTCTAATCGTTAGTTTTTCTAATACGGGAAATTAGGCAAACTTTTAAATGACCATGTTTTTACTTTTTAAATCAATGTGTTTAGCGGACAGCTGTCGTCATTGTAGCCAAACGCTAGTGTGCGTAACGAAACCAAGTCTCATTCGACACTTTTTCAGCCGACATCCCAGACGTCAGCCTGAGCGAGATTACAATAGAATCCAGCACATTAAAAAGACAGGGAATTACGATACAGTTTCTGAAAGTGGGTGGAGAGCCGATACTTTCGGGTATATCACTCCTTCAGAACTTTTAAACATATAAAGTGACGTAGTCTTATTCTTCAATAAGGCGACATCACTCTATTGAAGAACAATAGACGAATTTCGCTTCTGAGCCGCGTTATACAGGTTTCGTGAGTTGACGACTCCTAGCCGAACTCAAAATGCCTTCTTGCGTCGTAAAAAGATTGTTCCAATCATTTTCGGAAAACCATAAAAGTCAAGGCGTAAAGTTTCACCGGTAAGTACATGAAAAACAACTCGTTTTATGCTCTTGCATTATTTTTCAATGACAGTACGCCATTTTTTACCGAGCCATTTTTTGGCGTATGTTAGTGTTCGCGCATTCTTTGACTCGGCCGCCTCTTCCCGCGCGCTCCGTAATGCCTGCCACACATGGCATACAGATTTTTTTCGCGTCGTCCGTTCTAGTAAGTTGTACATTCAACAACTACACAGCCCGAATAGACGCCAAATGTATGTACTTCTGCATCCAAATCTGTCTGTCAAAAGTCTGAGGTAAGCGGTACGGGGGAGGCGGCTTGAAATGCACGCTAATTGGTTAAAATCAAGGTTGCGACACTTGCTAATAAGCAAATAGTGATGGGAACTTTAACTAATAAATTTGTTACCAAATCTACTCAATCAGTACCAGAATTATATTCTACTTATAAATTTGTACATAATAAATTAAAAAAAGGTTTTATTTAAGTAGGTATCGTATTTACTAAAATACCTATAATTTTTTGTTTTAAAGAATTTTTTTTATTAAAACAAGCTTTCTTTACAATATTGAAATATTTTATTTTTTCACGAGTTACATGCAAGATGTTCACGGGTCAGGGAAGTGGTCACTACTAAAGTAGATCGTGCGATCGTTTTCTTAAGTAATACGTATTTATCTAACGTGTTGACAGAAAGTGTTCCCCTTGCATGAGGCTTCTATTTGGGCTGTGTAGTCGTTGAGTACATTATACTTCAATGGTACGAAATCTAAGAGTGGTCTTAACACTCGCAGTGTATCAGCACTGCTTTGAATGACGAATTTATAGCACTATGTTCCAGATACAACAGAAATACAAATTCAAAATAGTTTGGAAGAAAATACTTTTTTATATCTGAAAAAAATACACAAAAATTATGTCACTAAAAGTTTGTTCACAATTTAATAACATCACTAAATTGTCTTTTAAACTTTGAATACATGTGTACGTGGAAATGTGTCATAATATGACGTAATATTATTACGCGAATAACTAAGAGATGAAAACATACCCCGAGGTAGCGGTGACTCCTCTTGTTGCGATCCCAAAGAGATTACGATCGATTGTACTGGACTCATCACTGGACTGGGTTCATCATCACTCCGTGCAATAGGGTCATCTAAAGAAAAAATGTACACTAATAAATTATAAATTGTTGCCTCGATGATTGTGTCATATTACGCGAATAATGTTGAGATGTTGCATACTCCGAGGAAGCGGTAACTCGTCTCGTTGCGATCCCAAAGAGGTTGCGATCGATGGTACGGGTTCATCCACACTCTGTGCAATAGTTTCATCTAAAGAAAATGAGTACACTTCAATGAATTCTAAACATATAGTATATAGCACATAGTGGTGCTAAAAAAATTACAATTAACGCTCAAATCTTTAGAATCAAATCGCTCAGTGATAAACGCACGTGTGTAATTAGTAAAAATTGTATAAAAATGCATATTCGTAATTATTTTATTTATAAGTTTTACTTTATCTGAGCGAAACAAACACTAATTATGATTGATTAAGACCAATTTAATTTTGCATATTTTGCATACCTTGATGTTTTTTGTGTATATTTTTACAATTATTTTTCATTAATTGCATTTGTTTGGTTAAAAATGCATTTTTCTGCGTTGTTGGACCAAAAATAGTTGTTAATATATTTTGCAGAAAACACTGGCAGTAATTACCAGATGGAACACGTGGTCACAGGCGGCTTTGTTTTATTTTGAACATTTTCAAAAAAACAAATACTTTTCGGACGAATCTCAAGCAATTGTACAAATTATAATTGAGGTAAAAAATACATTAGCAAAAACAGAGCTACCTCAAAAGTAGGTTTATATAAAAGCTAACCATAGTTTTGTCTCTGAAACCATTTTAAAATAAGAAGAAACCATGATTCAACTCACAGAGTTAGTTGAACTAATAATGCATCTAAAAAGTCATGTAGTGCTATTAAAGGTGAAATCTAAAACATACAGGTTAAAAAAAATATTTGCGAAGAAAAAACGCTCCAATTCAAAAAGCAGCGCCGTCGGCAATAGAACAGTTTGACAAGTAGACTGTTGATGGCTCAAAGGATCAGTGTGGAGGCGGCCGTAGTGGGAGCTAGGGCGGCAGCTACCTAGCTGGAGCTGCCTCCATCGGACCGGCACTCGAACCGGGGGTCCCGAAAGCGGCATTCCGGCGGCATCTCAATGACCCGGGGTTGGAAATCACCGAATGGGCCGACCTGGGGAGCTTCAGGGAACCTCGGCCTTGAGGCCCGGGACAGATTCGAAGTCGCAGGAACCCCGTAGTACCGGTACCGACCAAAGGGGGGGGAGGGTGGTACTCCAGTCGCGGCCACTTGATGCTTAACGTAGCTTTTTAACATATTACAAGGGTGGTCTGTAAAGTTTCCAACCTCAACCTAAAGATGGCCGCACTTATCAATAAAAGCTAGTGAATGTAGTTGTGCATATTTTGAGAGTTATGCACCAAAATTTCAGCCAGTTTGAACGCTTAGTTGTTATTTGACAGTCGTTTGACTGAGTCCATGTGTGTTTTTGTGAAAATGGGAAAAATTGAGGATCGAGCTGTCATGAAATTTCTGTTTTTGAAAGGCAATACACCTACGCAAATCAAAGATTAGTTTGACTCTGTGTATGGGGACTCTGCACCATCATTTATCACAGCAAAAGTTTGGGCAGTTGAAATTAAACGTGGCCGTGAGAGCGATGAAAGTTTGGGACGTCCAAACACTGCAACTACTGACGATAACATCGCTAAAGTTCACCAAATGGTGATAGACAGCCGCCGAATTAAAGTGAGAGAGGTAGCAAAGGCTATGAAAATGTCCAAAGAACGTGTTTGTTACATATTAAATCAAGATTTATGCATAAGAAAGCTGTTAGCGCGTTGCGTGCCGCGTTTGCTCACGTTAGACCAAAACGTGTTAGAATGAACATTTCCAACGTTTTGTTGCTGCAGTTTAAGCGCAATAAATCCAATAGTTTTGGCGCCGATTAATTACAGTAGATGAAACTTAGATACATAATTATATGACCTAAACAAAAAACACAGTCAAAACAGTGGACTGCAAAGGGGAATTGGCTTCAAAAAAAAAACTGTTTTTTCGGCTGGCGAAGTGATGGCAACTATTTTTTGGGATATTCATGGAGTTAACCTAATCGATTATCTTCAAAAATAAACCATTACAGGAGCATACCAGGCATCGTTACTAACAACCTGAAGGTGGAAATTGCGGAAAAATGGCCACATTTGCAAAAAAGAAAATCCTCTTTAACGATGACAACGCGCCGTCTCATAACTCAGCGGTTGCCATGGCGAAAAACCACAAATTATGTTTTGAATTGCTTGACCATCCCATTCGCCTTACTCACCAGATCTAACCCCGCCAGCGACTTTTTTTTGTTTTCTCATCTAAAAATTGTCAGGACCATTAACGGTGAAACATAAATTTTAAAATTTTTAATAACGCCTCATAAGGGGATATTTTCCATAGTTGCCATGCTAGGCAGGCGGTTGTCAACCGCAGCTTATTATATCTAGTTGTTATCAGGAAGACCCTGCTGCCCATCTCATTTGTTTCCGACTGTCGCCCCATTAACACCCATAGGACGATATTGGTTAGTGGATATTCTTACACGGTACGTACAGTACATCTGCATAACTCAGACCAACAAAGAAAGACGGCCAGAGCACAAATTAGGTGGTGCAAAAACAAAGCCATGGTCAATTTATTGAAAGAACCAAACACGCACGTACACATATGCATCTAAAGGTATTTACTAACAACATAGTTTCAGGAGCATAAACGTACGTGCACTTTTACGAGCTGATAAAGGAAGAAAGAGTTATGATTTGATATGATTTGAATTTCGATCGATTTTTATTTATTTATTTCATTCAAAAATTTTAATTTTATTTTTTGAAAAATATATGCTTCCATTCCGTATGCTTCTACTCCGTTTATTTGTTACGAACTTGGGGTTCGAGACAAATATCAAAATCAAGAAAGTTTACAATATGAAAACATACCCCAAGGAAGCGGTGAATCCAGTAATCCCAAAGAGGGGACTGGGGACCATTGTACAACCTTATCAACCTTATCGACACTCATTGCAACAGGTTCATCTGAAAAAGTGTAAACTTCTAATGAATTCTAATATATATATATATATATATATATATATATATATATATATATATATATATACTAATTAAAAATAGGGGGGGGGGTTATGAAAAGGATTACTTCTCACATTATTCAGCATCTGAGAATGTTATGGCTCGAAAAACCGAGGCTACAGATGACAGCACAGAAGAAGATACAAGCTCAAAACATAGTAATCACTCATTAACTGTAATAACTGCTGCCTGAGATTATATTTAACCAAATGGAATATCCTATAAGAAATCATATGTAAATTAATATATATTTGAAAAATATAAAGATATTCGATATCATTTCTTGTTGTAAATCTGCGTTGCTAAAACCACCAAATGTTTTTAATTGTTAAACAAATATTTTTATTTCAAGGTTAAGAGGAGTATTACAATAAAAAACGCGAAATTCACGGTTACCTCGTTGAAATTATATGTTTTCCGTTCGTTGCTTGAAATAACAATTACTTAATAAAAATAGTTCGTTTTCTCTACTACAAGCTCGAGGCAAATTTTAGATAACTTATTTATTTAATAATAATCATTCTCAATATGTATGTTTAGGCCAAAACTCTGAGATACATGATTTGTGAGCTCTAATTTGTAGATTCTATTCAATATCGACCATCGAAAAAAATATTTTTAAGTCACAGATATACTATACTTTCATAATTATTAAATACATTTTCGTTATATGCCTTTCACGTATGGGAAAAAAATCGACATAATTTAATTATCTTCCGAAAAAGCTTCGGTACAAACCTCAATATCTCCAAAGTTCTTCATAATTTTGACGTAAAATTTATACCAAAATAAATCATCATTTGCTTAAACTCTACCATGATTTTTACTTTTTAAAACAGTGACAAATATTTTTTAATCAACTGAATAAAATAACCATATATTTCACTGCGCCGACCCTCTGCGTGCGTGCCGTGCCTGCGTTCAATTTCAATAGAGCGCGAGCGTTCGTCGAGGTCGGACCTGTATTATTTTATTTTGCGCGCTCCATCTCGTGTCGGTATTACGTAGTGGGCTTCGAAGGCCGTGGCTAGCATTGCCAGGCGTCTGGATAAAGCCGAACATTAAGGCTTTTTGGTTGCGTGTCCGGTCAAATTAGGCGGTGTCCGGTCCGTCGGGCTTTTGATAGGCTTTTTAAAGGAGACAATAGTTTTTGGATCAACTATATATTTTAACGTAATTTAACTCATAAAGAAAGATACCAATTTACTATAGAAAACAGGCTAAAGATTTTATGAAAATCTAACCGGTATCATGATAAATAATACAATTAAGAATCAATAGCTACATATAAATCACCGCAGTATGTTTATTTCTTTATAGTTTTCTCCGGAAAGAATCCACCTAGTATTTAATATTTTGAAGAACCTACAACTTTTTTATACTTTTTATTATTAAGACTGTAATATTATAACATACAATACGAGGGCGGCACTAAAAATTTCGGGAATCAAGGAAGTGACACAACATTACTATTTAAAAATGTATTTATTGCTTTTCGAAGTATTCTCCGCGAAATTTGACACATTTTTCCATACGATGGAACCAATCATTGAAGCAACCATTCCATTCGGAAGTTGGGGTCTCCAAAATGGCCGTTTTGTAGGCGTACACAGCTTCTTCAGGTGATGAAAATCTCTGTCCACGCAATTTATTCTTTATTTTAGGGAAAGTATAGAAATCATTAGGGCTTAGGTCGTGGCTGTACGGCGGATGGTCTAATAATTCTATGTTTTCTTGCTCTAAAAACTCTTTTGTTCTGTGTGCGGTGTGAGAACTCGCATTGTCGTGATGGAGGATGATGCGGCGGTTGCAATTCTCTTTACGGAGTTCAGAAACGACCTGTGGCAAACAAATGCTAGCATACCATTCTGCATTAACCGTTCTTTGTCCCTCAAGAGGAATAGTCATAACATGGCCGGTTTTGGAGACAAACGTGGCCACCATTTTTTTTGCAACACTCCGTGAACGAACAATTTTTGTTGGCTTTAACTTATTTTCGAACACCCAAACTCGTGACTGGTTTTTTGTTTCGGGTTCGTACGTGTATATCCAGGATTCGCCACCTGATACGATGTTGTATACAGCATTTGAGGATCCTGGGTGGAATCTTTTGAGAGTTCTGACGCACCAAGTAACGCGAGCCACTTTTTGCTCTTCACAGAGCGAATGCGGTATCCATCGGGAAAACAACTTTTTTACACCTAATTGTTCATGCAAGATTATTTGTATTTGACTCATGCCAATGTCTAAAGTTGCCTGAATTTTGCGTTATGTCACATGTCGATCTTCCTCAATCGGCTTACGCACAGCATCAACGTTTTCTTGGGTGACTGCAGTTTTTGGACGACCTTGACGGGGATCATCACTGAGCTTGACACGTCCACGTTGAAATTCAGCAAATCAGCGATAAATTGTGGTTTTGGATGGGGCTTCATCATCAAATGCAGAAATCATCCGGTCAACACACTGTTTTTGTATTAAACCACTTCGAAAGTCATAATAAATCATCGCTCTTTAATTTTCTCGAGTCAATTCCATCTTCTCAACGACTAAACAAGTTTGACAAAACCTTGTGACAAGACTAGAATCTTTTTTTAAATAAATAAATGGTATTCGATTTTTAAAGCCAAGGAGTTATCAATTAAAAAGATTTTAATATGACAGGAACAGTGGAAATATTCCATTCCCGATACTTTTAGTGCAGCCTAGTATCGATAAAAACTACTAGACAGTCGCACATATAAGTTTTAAGTTAAAATGAGATTGCCGTTTGATTGTCAATTTCTCAGTATTTCCGTTAGATGCGGTAAAACTAATATCAATAATATAATCTAGAGATATAAGTAATAATAATGTAATCTAGAGATATAAGTAATAAATCGACATGCATTTCATTAAGTTACGCCACAATTTGTGGTGAACCCAATCTCCATACAAAAAGAAATTGTCTTTTTCACGTACTTACATACATAATATTGCAATTATTTAAATTAATATTTTAAGGAATGATTTATTGATTTGAGACTGATTTATTCAATTTTATTGTTATTTCATTAGAATTTAAGAATATTTTATATGGTAAATAATAAAAACATTGTTTTACTTTAAAAATAATTGTCATGTTATACTAAGACTAAAAAATTAAGGGTGTCCGGCCTTTTTACCAAAATGCCCGGCTAAGTTTGTTGGTCTGTCCGGCTTTTCGGTCTTGAGACCTGGCATCCCTAGCCGTGGCGCTAAATTTTTCTGCCAGAGCATCGTCAACTACGGCCGCAACCATGAAGGTTAGAGAACAGGAGAACGATCACCGTAGAAAATAGTGTCCCAGAAATATGGACACCATCAGTGAGGCGCTGCGGTCACTAAGTGCAGTCAATAAAAGTCATTTTCAGTCTATTTTTCCGATCAGATGTTCAACCACTTGCATATCCACGCACAATAAAATATTTCTCCAGTTTTTAATGTTTATTTTTGTTAAAAATTACAAAATTACGGAGCATGAAAATTTTCTACGAAAAAATGTAATGAAATTTTGTACAATATTCAACTAATTTCATCTACTTGTACTCATAAACAGCTAACTTCGCAGTCACTACTCACCGACGTCAGCGCTGCTATACATTCTACAATTTTCAAGGACAGGCGGGCTATGCTTTAGTACGTAGTGATCGTTCTCCTGTTCTCTAACCTTCATGTTGGAAATATTTACTTAAGTACAGTATACTTCAATTAATATAAAGTTTGCACGTTATTATTATACCAGCTAGTTAACTCATTATAGTTATTTTGATTGTAGCTGAGCTTTCTCACCAATCCCATGGGAAAAATAAATACAAGTATCAAAGAATCACTTAAAGTAAAAAACAAATATCCTATCTCTGGAGAAAAAAATAATGGATAAAAATGTATTTCGAACATCCATCAAAAAACTAAAATGAGCAAATTCTAAAGAATTCCAAAATTGTAGACTATTAGGTCAAGTTTGGACAGAATAGTAACTTCTCTAAAATGTTTACAATCTAAATAGTTGAATATATTTTTACTTGGAATTCTGACTTCTTGGAATTGTGTATTCCACGAATAATGTAGTAATAAAACATACCCCAAAGAAGCGGTGCATCCAGAGCCTGCGATCCAAAGGAGGCCTCGGATGATACTTCAACTTTATCGACACTCACTGCAACACTCACTGCAACAGGAACAGAACAGAATTTTAAGTATCAACCGCTTAAAAAAAAACTGACCAGCAAGGTACTATGGCAAACTCTGATGGAAGCAAGCCGGCGCATTGTAAAAAGACTGTTCATATTTATAAACCCTATTTAACTATTCAGTAGTCTTTTTCCTAGCAATGTTTACCAAAAGTAGTCTAAGTGCGTCTAAAAGTGAGTGAGTTTTTTACTTTGTTGTTTGAAGAAACTTTGACGGATTTTATTGTGTTCAATTTAGCTCACTTATAGCTCCAGACGTTTCGAGGACTTTACAGAATGAGGTGTCCGATGTCTTGACGTCAAAGGTAACCCATGAATTAGCTTTTAGATATTGTTTTTGGTCAGATCTACGCTGAACGAAACTACAGTATCTCGAAGTTTTGCAATAGTATGCTTGAGTATAAATTTAATTTTATTAGTTATTAGATCCCAGCAGCATCCCTGGTAGCATTCAGATGTTTGTAATGATCATTTTTTTATCTTAATGGCCTCGCGAATCAGCTTAGTAGAAATCAATGTTCGTTTACGAGGATTTCGGGTTCGTTGAGTTTTAATTACGATCTTTAATACGTTCACATCATGCAGACTTCCCAAATCGTCATAGCATTACACCAGGATGCGGCAGTCCAAACCGCCTTCAGAGTTTATTGATTCTCGACCCCATGGTTTTTGTAGTAAAGGGATCAATGAATTACCTATGAGATAGCAAAAGTGCATAGACAACAACGGTGTACACTTTGATTAATTAAAATAGATTTAAAAAAAATTGACTTTATATTCCTCCTGTACAAAACGCCAATTTCATATGTAAGGACCTAATATTATGAAATAAAGTCTCATACGCGTGCAAACCGGGTTCGATCCCCGCCAGCACCAATGAAATTTTTAATAATAAAAATATATTTTTATTTACTCTCAATTTAAATTAAGAAGTTCGCCGACACAACGGAGCATGGGACAGCGCGGCAAACAATTCCTTGCCCTAAAAACCCTCTCAGAAATGAGCAGGAGGCCTGAGCCGAGGAGTGGGACTGGCTGAAACAATGCTAATGTCGTATAAATATAAAAAATGTCGTGTATAAATATTTTTTTTGTTGTTGATTTAGCTTGGGCGCTTATTTAAATTACAGTATAATAATCTTCAACAAGAGACGAACACTGAAGTGACGTCAGAAGTGAGCCTGTAAATTGTAATATAATGGTTGATGGATGCATCATCATCAGCAAGTGATCGTATAACTTTTGAACGACGTGATCGATTGAGGTCATATTAAAGATAATCCGATAAATAGCACTGTAATCAAGTTTTTAACACATTTTATATAAATAAACCTAAGTGACTCATTATATCTACAGTATATCATGTTGGCATAGTGCAAAAAAAGTAAATCACAAAATCAGAACGAAACGTCACCGTGATGGAGTTGTTAACAAACTTTATATTAAATCACGCCACCTACGGAAGGGGAAAACATAGTCTGCCAATCCAGCTAGTGTACTATTATAACATCAAGAAATATATAATGGTTAAATATATACTTAATGAAACCGACTTAACGATTTCCTATACATACCTTGTGGAATAGATGGAGAATTCACTGGTATATATAACATTTCGTCAGGTTGCATAGCATGTCGGGAATCTGTATGAAATAAATGTTTATAAATTACTTTATTAACATGATTTGACTTAAATTGCAAACGCTAATTTTCACGTGTATATTCACGATTATCAAACACATTTCACACGCGTAAAATTAAAATAAAGTGTGTTATTTAAGTCATTATGAAGTCCCCGTTATTAAGTTATAAATATATATTAAACAAAAAATATTATTTGTAAAATGTTTGCCCGTAATGTAGTGTTTTACTGGTTTTTTTTTACAGAATAAGGGTGACAAACGAGCGCGCAGGCCACATGATAGTAAGTGTATGCTGTGGCCCATAGACATCTACATTTATCCTCGATTAAGAATCAAAACGTAGACGCGTTGTCACCCCTGAGGACTAAGATATAATGCCTCGTTTCCAGTAAAAAAGGGTCTCCGGATCTCTACACTCATCATACGAAACGCAGCAGTATTAAGCTGCTATTTTACGCTGGTATTCTATGAGAGCGTGGTCCTTCCCGGTCGAGCCGACACATTCGTGCAGCGTGGCCCCACCACGTAAAATACAATTTTTAAATTATTTAAAATTTTTAACCAAAAGGTTTAATAATCGAATTTTATTGCTGTGAAGATTAGCTTTAATTTCATGACACTTACTAAAGAATTATATATTATATATAATGTTATAAAAAATAATTTACTAAAGAATTTTTTTGACCAAATATTGTCCCTGCCGTAGAATACTATAATACATACCTACACAACAGAACGAGGGAGTGGGCGGCGCCCGTGTAACCACTGACATGTCAATTCACACCTATAAATGTCAACACATCTTTGACGTCACAGTCGTCACTCAATTTTTGTGCCAAGCGTTGCTGGGTGCAATTTATTTTAAAAACGCCTATTTGTGCGATTATTACGTTTAGGAAAAACAGCCAGATATAGAATTTGAGAGTCTTAACATATTATTTTTTACTTTGTTGTTTGAAACTACTTTGAAGAATTATATTGTATTCTCAGACGAAATAAAAACTCAAGACAGAGCCCCGCCGAACAACGCATTGAGGCACGTAAAACTACGCCTCGCCTTGTACATACACAGTTTCACGCACATACATACCTTGTCATTCGAGCTATTCCAGCGCACGGAGTGTCACGCTATAATAATTCGCAGTTTTTAAAGAAAAAATGCCGAATTGGGTTGTAAAACTTACATACTACTTCTTAAAGTGAGGTTTACAATTTCAAAAAATTCCAACTTATCTTTTTACTTATCCATTTATCATGATAGTACTGAGACAGTAATATATAGGGTAATAAGTTTTTACTGCACGGCAACACTTATCTAGTGGACACATGTTTACCAAACCGACCTCACTTCATTGTTGACAGCGCTCTGTCTTGAGTTTTTATTTCGTCTGAGATTATATTCAATTTAGCTCATTTATAGCTCCCGAAGTTTAGAGGACTTTACAGCACGAAGAAAAATGAGGTGTTGAACGTCCTGACGGCAAAGATAACCCATGAATTAGCTTTTGGATATTGTTGCGCGCCACGATTAATGCCCGGTACATGGCGACACAAGTTATCACTAACGCTCTCTAGTATCAAGTGACACAAAGTAAACTAGACCACAGTGTAGAGCCATGTTGCAAATATATTAGTAGTATAGTTGTAGCACGAATGGGTCGGCGCGACCGGGGAAGGACTACGCTCTCACAGAATACCAGCGTAAAATATTAGCTTAATGCTGCTGTGTTTCGTAAGGTGAGTGTAGAGGACTGGAGACCCTTTTACTGGAAACGAGGCATTCCATCTTAGTCCTCACGGGTGACAACGCATCTGCATTTTGATTCGTAATCGAGGACAGATGTAGACGTCTATGGGCCACAGCAACCACTTACCATCAGGTAGACTGTGTGCTCGTTTGTCACCATATCCTATAAAAAAAAAATATTCTACACGTCATCGTTGGTGCCCACAATCAAGTGTGAGTAACGATGCAAGAGTAAGTCTTATCCTACACTATTCCGATGATATCCCGGAAGTCAGTCTGAGTGGTATTAGAACGGCTCTCCAGCACCTTAAAAATGTTAAGTCCCCGGGCGAGGATGGAATTACAGTGGAGCTTCTAAAAGCAGGTGGAAGACCATTAAAGTCTTTCAGAAGCTTAATGGTTTCTTAAATTTACGCGAACACTACACATCGAATAAAACTATTATAAACTAGCGGTGCTGCAGTTTTAAGGGCTGCCAAGTGGACTATTGGTATATCGAAGTGTTGAAATGTTTGTATAGTAGAGCTACGATGGCAATCCGAGTACAGAACCAGAGTGTGAAATGCATCCAACTGCAGAGATGTGTAAGACAGTGAGACATAATACCCCCGAAACTCTTCACCATTGACACCACTCACGCCACACATTTGAGGACGTTTTCAAGCTACTGGACTCGAAAGGATACGACGACATTAATGTCAATGGCGAGTACATCACTCACCTTCGATTTGCCGACGATATAGTCCTTATGGCAGGATCGCTGTAGGGCCTAAGCAATATACTCAATGACCTCAATTAGTGCCTCCCACCGGATAGGTCTTAAGATGAACATGAACAAAAAGAGAGTCATGTGCAAAGTCAATGTCACACTTATGCCGGTGGTTGTTGGGAGCTTAATTGACGGATTCAACTCGGCCGGGCAGCGTTTATGAGATTACGAGACATCTTCTCGTCAGGCATACCTCGAAATCTCAAAACTAGATTGTACAACAAATGCGTGTTGCCAGTGATGACTTACGGATCTGAGACGTGGCCCTTCCTTGCTAGCCGATGAGTAAACTCAAAGTCGTTCAGCGAGCTATGGAGGGGGTATGCTCGGAGTTTCTCTGCGTTATAAACTAAGGAATGAGAATATCCGCAGTAGTATCATCTACATAGCCCAACGGATTAGTAAACTGAAGTGACAATAGACCGGCTACATAACTCAAAGAACCGATGACGAAGTGTAACGCGTCCCCCCACTAAATGGAGTGACGACCTGGTAATAAGACATGCAGGAAGTCGATGGATACAGGTGGCTCAAGACCATGCTTTGAGGCATTCCTTGGGAGGCCTATGTTCAGCAGTGAACTTGTAAAAGGACTGTAATGATGATGATGAATGATGATTCATGTACCTTGGATACCTATACCTACTGTTCTTGGATAGTTAAAATATTTTAAGTTATAAGAACACAAAATACTGAAATAAAAACTTTCTTCACAAGATTTTAAACTAAGGAATCGTATTTCGGGTTTTTATGTTGTTTACACTACCTATCCATTTCATCTGAGCCAAGCATCGCGATTCGTAGCGAATGGCATTGCAATGCGAATGGCATCACAGAACTCACATAGTAGCGAAATTATAGTCAATCGAATCGATATTAGGAAATGGTACCTTATCTAAGTAACTTAGTTAATATTTTGCAATGTATTTTTTACACTATTTGGCAGCCCTTAGTAACCACGGAGTCCGCCGTGACATGGAAGGGGAAAAGATGCAAAGTAATGCGGACACTCGCGCGCAGTACTTTGCATGTTAAAGTTTTATTTAGTTTAAGAGGGCATATGCGTTTCGCGTCGAAAACTACATGTTTTATGGTTTTTCCAAAGGCGATATCGTAACGACGTGAGGAGATTATTTGCTGAAAATTAGGGCTTTAGAAAGATGAAGTCTTTATTTAGTACATAGCAATGCAAAATCATAGTTTTTAATGACAGTTTTTTAGGGCGAAGACAATCCCTTCACAGTGTTTTACGAAAATATGCATCAGAGTTATCTTTCAGGTTGAATACAACCATTATTATAAGCTAAAATACTTTATTTTAAGCGTTATTATAATGGAATATATAGTCTTTTAGTGTATAGCAGAACCTAAATTACGAAAATATTTCGATTTAATATTATAAAATAATATTATAATATCACCAAAACTGTCTACTTCAATGTAATTTTTTCCATGTATTTGCTTATAAACATATCTATTTTAATTATTTTATCAAAATACATGTAAAGTTAAATATCCAAAAAAAAATTTAGCTCGTTTTATTTTGTCAATTATTTTATATAATTATTTTAAAAATACTATAAAACATCATGCGCAGGCACCGTTCGATTCAGTACGCTCCGGGTAATCCCAATAACAGGACGTATCACTTTTTCTCACCGACACCGCGCGATCGCGTTGATACACCGATAGGGATATACTACACTATACTATAACTAGCTACCTATAGCACCATCGCGTATTTTAAACGATTGAGACTTTTATAAGCGATATTTTTGGTAGTAAGTAATTTTGAAATATGTTTACGATTGTAATATTTAATTATTAAATGATGTAATGGCGTCAAATTTTCATTTCATACATATTTTTTTAGAAATGAGTAATGAACGTAAGCAATTCGGATCAAGTAAAAATACAAAATCGTTGGCTTTCACCTTTGGCTCCGTGGCGGAGTGACTTGATAATGAGTTGTAGCGCTGAGCGCCGCAGGTTCGAATCCCACATTGAGCAAAAATTTGTATTACCTACAAATAATTGTTCCAGGTCTGGATGTTTGTCCTTGTGAAATTAATGTATTTAAACTGATATACGTTACGTACGGAGCGTGCGTACGGAGATAACGTTATGATTAAACAAAGACATGCCATCAAAAACATAACTTGTAAAATAACCAAGTCTCGCAATGATGATACGGCCGTGCCGCTGTTTTGCTCGACTTGGCGGGGGCACTGCCCCCAGACATAAAACATATTGTGAGCCGTGCTTGAGTTGAGTAGCTCAAGGGCGTAGTGCTCGCCGTAATAGCGAACAATCCGGGCTCGATCGCCGCTAGTGTTGCCAGGTGTCCCGATTTGCGCGGGACGTCCCGATTTACCCTTGATCGGGACGCCAAATGTCCCCATTTTCACTAACATTCTTATTCTATACTTTAATCCATAATTTAGACAGCAAAAATGATTATATCTGTTAGCTACTACCACATTAAAATATTTTTACTACGACATTGTCTCACTAGTCGAAAAAAAACACAAAAGTTTTAAACAGAATTATATTAAAATGAGTGATTTGAAAAATTCAAGGACTGCAAAAAAAAAAGCAAATAGTTCAAAAATGTTTTAATTTGCTTAAAATGAAAAACAAAATCAGTTTTTATGATGTTTGGATGAAAAGTTATTCGTTTATGAGATCAGACCCGAATAATAATTATAAAGCACAAAAATAAAGTTACAGTCACAATTTCTCGCATTACTCGCATGTGATATTTACACTTTACAGTTAGCGTTGACCATCTGAGCTACCACGGCTCTCAATAAAGCACAAAAAAGGCTACAAAGAAACCTATATTTTGTAGTCATTGTAGTTGGCCGGATATGAAAACCAAATCCCCGATTATTTTTACCTTCCGTCCCGAAATTTTACTTGATAGACCTGGCAACACTACTCCCCGCCGACACTAATGAAATTGTTAGTTTGTGATGAATTATGTTTACATTATGAAACAGAATAAAAGTTTATCAAATGATATATATTTTATACAATTCATATTTTTCAATTAGAACATATACATATTATAATATACCTATTCAATAGGGTGAAAATGTAAAGCCGACTTCAATTTACTAAAAGAATAAAACAATTTCCACATATTAGCCTCCGATTTCTATACACTATATAAGCCATTATATGGAAATTATTTTTTTATTATTTTAGTTCCAATAGTATCAAAGACAGGTATATAATCAAAGATCAAAGTGATTCGTAGTCGTCGTTAGGCAACTATTAGCCTCACGCTCGCCCTGACACGCACACAGAGATAACATTGTAGTGTGCGTCAATATTACGAAGATCCAAAGCGATCGCGTAGATTTCGACTTTGACATATTTGAATATGCGCTCTTAATGATTTCTTATATTTACGCGAACACTACACATTGATTAAAACTACTTTTACGGATTTTATCGCGTATATTTTACTATCATTTTTATTTAGCTTACGAGCGATTCATCCAATTAATAATTATTATATAGTCTACCAAACGTCGGCAAGCACTACCACTATTTATTCTGTGATATAAGCTCGAAACGTGGTAATCACTCATAATAACTTTTTGCTGATATTATATTCACCCAAATTGTATATCCTATAAGTAATCATATTATGTAAAATATATATTTGAAATATCTAAATATTCGATATCGTTCCCTATTGGAAATCTGAGTTGCTAAAAGTACCAAACGGCTATTGTTAAGCATATATATATTTATTCCAAGGTTGATGAAAATTTAAATTAATGTATAAAAAATATCAAAAACGTGTTTTGAAAATTTTCGGCAAACACAAAATTTGGCAAATGTTCATTAGATTGTGTAATGAGAACATAAACTTTTTAATAAATTTTATTATTCTGTACATACTATTTTATTTAGTATACGAAGTAAGTACCCGCCTTCTTAAATAATTCAGAAATACTAATTTAAAGAATTGTATGAATACTAGCTACTGCCTAAGCCTACTTATCTGTGGTAGTTCATCTTTTTAACTCAACCAGGCATAAAACTATCCTAATTTTATCAATATCAGTTCAGCAGTTTAGTCACAAGCTTGACAGATTTTCGCATTAAAATCGAAAAGTATGGATTCTCATTCCGTAATTACATTTTAGCAGCAGATTATGTTATTGTCTTATATTTTCTAAAGAAAAATTTAAAATTGACAACATTAAATAATATATAACAACCAATAAATGAGACTTAACAATAAATAATCACCAAACACGAGTATATATATATATTATAGATGAAAACTGGGCCAAGTTGCTGCCCACTTTGAGAAAAATTAAGAAAAACGCTCCCAAAGATGATGTGACGAAAAAAATTAATTCAATCCAACTACCGCAGAGAATTAAAATTTAAGAGTGGAAAAAACTCTACATCTGACGTAAATATTGGGAAGGAAAACATGGACACGGACATGATAATATTAATTAATAATAAATATCCAAATAAAGAATTCGAAAATTGTAGTCCATCAGATCAAATTTGGACAGAATAGTAACTTCACGGGAATGTTTACAATTTAAAAATATTGTTATGTTTACAATATTAAAACATACCCCGAGGAAGCGATGAATCCGGCAGCTTGGGTACCAATGAAGCATTTTTGTGTGTTTGTACATCCTTATCGACACTCATTGCAACAGGTTCATCTGAAAAAGTGTGAACTTTCAATGAATTCTAATTTATATATATATATATATATATATATATATATATATATATATAAATGTATGTATGTATAAATAAAAAAAATAAGGGTTAATAAATTTAAGAGTGGAAAAAACTCTACATATTGGGACGGAAAACATGGACATAATTAATAATATATATATTTAAGATGAGCCGAATATGGATTTTACCGAATACAAATATTCGGCCGAACGTTCGGTAAAAATTTTACCGAACCGAATATTCTGCCGAACTATATTCGGCAGGATCACCTCGGTACCTAACCAATTTATGTCGAAACTTGTTACCACAAAGCGCTCGGGATTAGCGCCGGACTCTGTCCCTTGCTCCCCCGCCGCACCTGACATATTATTGCATCAACTAATACTGAGTATGTATATATATATTGAGAAAACTTGGCGAAGTTGCTGCCCATTTTGAGAAAAATTAAGAAAAACGCTACTCAAGAGAATGTGAAGAACCACCGAGAATTAAAAATAAGGGTTAACAAATTTAACAGCGGAAAAAACTCTACATCTGACGTAAATATTGGGAAGGAAAACATGGACACGGACATGATAATATTAATATTAATTAATAATAAATATACAAATAAAGAATTCGAAAATTGTAGTCCATTAGATCAAATTTGGACAGAATAGCATTGATTTATACAACACTAGATCAGTAATAACCGCGCCAAAGCGTTGCCACTGCACATATGGCCACAGCCATATGCTTAGCTAACGTGAGTTCATTGTTCAATGTGACGCCGACAGAGTTGAGCCGCGACAAAAATGGGTAAATGCGTAGTGAAAGAATGCTATTCAAGGTCACAAAAACGTAATAAATCAAGCGGAATCACTTTCAACACATCATTTTTAGTTCTTGTTTTCATATAAACGTAAAAAACCTCAAATAATTAAATAAAATTGTCGAATATTGCCATTTAGATTCAATGTTGCCACCTTTCCGCATTTGTGATTACCCTACATTAATGGGAGACTATATAGTTAATGGAGTAAGTTAATTTTTTACCTCTGATTTTAAATATTTTAGAAATTATAATAAAAACTACGTTTTAACTTTCATACAAAATAATTAATTATTCTTATTTTAGTTTATTCATGAATTATCTATTAAATATATTTTATTACCTATTTTATATTGTTATATTGTTTGATTTTATAGTACCATAAAAATACGTTTTATTTCATCATTATGTTTACTTCTATACATCATACTAATAAAGATTTGAAAATAAAATATAATTTTTAATATAAAAACAATTAACTGCAGTTTAAAAAAAAACTCATTTTTATTGCGTATTTTAGGTAAAATTTCATATAGTAAGCCACACCAACCCGCCATTGCATGTTTGTGTGTCTATCTTTATCTAATCTTAGCGACGATATTGTTTTTGCAACTTGTGTAAGTGAGATAGATATATGTTTACTTAAAATTGTTATTAGTTTCAAAGCTACGTCGTCGCGTTTGGATAGTGGTTACACTTTTTTCGACGCGCGGTAATGTGGTTTGCTCCTCTAGTGTTGTATAACTCAATGCAGAATAGTAACTTCACGGGAATGTTTACAATTTAAAAATATTGTTATGTTTACAATATGAAAACATACCCCGAGGAAGCGATGAATCCGGCAGCTTGGGTGCCAATGAAGCATTTTTGTATGTTTGTACATCCTTATCGACACTCATTGCAACAGGTTCATCTGAAAAAGTGTGAACTTTCAATGAATTCTAATTTATATATATACATATTTGGTATTTCTCACATCTACGTTTTTTACACAAAATTGTAATCCAAATTGAAGCACAGGCCTTTTTTTATGAATATCCTTCCCTTATGAAATCTTGGGTATGACTGACGATCAGTTAGAATGAGCGTGTAATGCCGATTTTTTTTTGTCAGTCACCATCCGTTTTTCATCAATCATGATTGATGGAATTGAATGACGCCTGCATGAGCGTGTAATGTACGCCCTATGAAGTTTCATAAAATTTTAATTTTTTTTAGATTAATTAAACTGTCAACAGATATTCTTGTACTTCATGGATAGGTACCGCACATTTAAGATAGTGATGTGCCACGCTAATTTTTTGTTTAGTTTGCCATAACGAACAACCACAGACTATGAAAAATCGATTTTGTAGTAAATAGAATATATAAAAATTACTTAAATATGTATTGGAATTGGCTCTTTATTGGCAAAATATGTTCTATTAACGGTACTGATTGCGCGTAAGTCCTATATTATCAGCTGTTATTCTGAAGAAAAAATATGGAAATCAAAATTAGTATCTATTTGATTTGTGATTTTGAAATTTGATTGTGGCAACAGAATGTCGTCCTTCTGTCAGTCAGCAATTTAGTAATGTTTCGTAATAATAATGTGTTAAGTACTCGTACTGATGCCACGCCGTTAGAACCTTGTATTTTCTTTCATCAGTTTTTGTTATTTTCTGCTATCTACTGTTTTCGTTGATTTTTCGTTAAATTTATGTTATTTTTGTTTACACAATGCCGAAAAGAACGAAAAAGAGTGTTTTGAAAAGAAAATGTCGCGAATTTGTGATTAGCTTGCGAGATTATTTTGAACGTGAGCGTGAAACTGGCGGACCTTTGTTGCCCGTAACCCAAGTTGGCATCGGTCGTACGACGGTGTCTCATATAACGTAATAAAACTATGACAAGCCATCATCAACTCAAGCGATAGAGGAAGACACGGAACCAAAAATTGTAAGCGCCAAATAAGAATAGTAGGAGAGTTTCGAATATCACTGTAATAGGCAACCGTATATATTATAGACGTGCTAAACATTCAACACTAAGAAAATGAGAAAAAGAACCCTTAAAGACTCTGATTTATTAAAAGGCAGTTTGCAGTCATTGACTGCGTTTGGCAGAAAAAAGCGTTAGGAAGCGCTTTTAAGCAAAATGGCAAACCTAAACAGTTTTCGGCCAGGACACGTTTGCTAACTTCAGTAGCGCCGACACAATCCGCCATTTTGCTTATTTACTTTGTTTGTTTTGAACTTATAAACTCTACGTTTATAAGTTGTTTTGTGCAATATTAGTTTCAAGTAATAGTGACATGAATAAACATATTATACACGTTATAAAAAATTCATGATTACTAAGTTTTTAATATGAATACTTTACAAACATATATTTAAATTAGGTAAGGTTAAAGCTAACTTCGTGTCCTAGGGGAAAATAGCTACTTACGACTTGACAGCCCTTACCGCTTACGGTCGCCATTTTGCTTACAAGCGCTTTTTTCTGCCAAACGCAGCCATTGGCCACCATACTACACAAAATAGGCTTCACTTATAAAAAAAAGCGATAAAATAAAAATAGTAAGGTAGCGCACAGATCTTGCCTTGGCGTTGGTGGAATTTTTGAGAAAAGCCAAATATATTTCAAATTGGAATAAAGTCGTATTTCTGGACGAGACGTGGCTTAATGCGAACCACATTGTACCAAAAGTTTGGACTGATGACACGGCAAATTCAGTCTCTAAAATGCCCGATGGCAAAGGACAACGAATTGTTTAAAATTCCTAATGCATACAGCATGAACATGCAACTATCAATTGCAAGTTTTATGAGAATAATAATCGAAAAGATTTATTAACGATTATCCACCTACAGAAATCTAAATAATAATACAACATTATTAAGATTTCTGTGACACCACACATTTATAAAGCCACAAATACATTTTCATAGGTTTAATTATTATAAATCTGTTATGAAAGAAATTTATTTGTTATTTTATACTCAAATGCTTTATTTTACTCATTTGATATTTCAATATTTGCAACAAATTTATTTTTAATTGGTTTATACTTCTTAGCATGTATTCGTCATTATTTATACGCGGTAGAGCCACGCTACAGCTATATAAGTAGTATATTTGTAAGAGAAGAGAAGATTGTAAGAACCACGCTCTCACAGAATACCAACGTAAAAAAGCAGCTCAACGCTGCTGTTTCATATGGTGAGTGTAGAAACTGGAGGCCTTTTTTACTGGAAACGAGGGATTCCATCTTAGTACTTGCGGGTGAAGAGGCATCTGCATTTTAATTTATAATCGAGGATAGATGAAGGTGTCCATGGGCCACAGCATCCACTTACCATCAGGTGCCCTGCGGTTGCATGCACAACAACTTAAAACGATAACCAGACTAAACTAGTCTATAGGCACAGTATCACGGGAACCACATAACATCAGGTGAACTGTGTGCTAGTTTGTCACCTTTATCCTATTCAAAAAAATGTATATCGTTGGATATCTGTCCGACCGTATACCTGACGACGGTAGTGTACCAACAGACTTATTGAAAGCAATATATCATTCAACTTCAATGAATGTATAATCATGCCTAATCAGATCAAAATATAAAATAATATTTCCACAATTATTTCTTTTGCGGCAGCAACGCATCAGGTACCAGCTATTAAGTTATATCAAAATTCGTTTCGTGCTATTTTTTTTACAAAAGTTAATTGGTGTCATGGTTACACACCAACAGACACACAGATAGCTTTTAACGGTGCATGCATAATATAGATACAATGTTTCCATAAAAATAGAGTTTTAGAGACGAGAACTAAGCGACGCGACGTTTCTATCTAGTTGTGACAGTTAATTTAATTACCTATTGCATTTCTCCGTGGAATTTTACACTCTGTGGTTGTTTTTATATTCCTCTTGATTTTCCTTGCCTTAACAGTTCTGGTAAAGTAGGCTAATGGCTTATCATCATCAGTATTGAAGTCACTAGAGTCAGATCTATTAAGACTTGACAGGAATTTTCTGATGTTTCTCGTAATTATTCTCCTCGGTGCCAAATTAATTTCTTTTATATTTACTCTTTTTTGTGGTCTTTGATTAGTCCTTGACCTTAATAGCATGCAATGTTTTTTTGCTGTCGGTTTTGATTTTTGAGAAACCGCTTCGTTTGATAACATATTTCGATGGTTTTGCACACGTGTCACTCGATTTGTAGCTCCTGGTGCAAATACTGATTGGCTTTCGTGTAATCTTTCTAGGAGTACAATAGGTTGCTTATGAACATGGACATCTACAATAAATACAATTACAAATTAAAATTTTAATGAAATTGCTATATATATATATATATATATATATATATATATATATATATATATATATTAAATACAAAAAAAATATAAATTATGTTCATTGATATTTGTTTAAGTGCTGATTTAGAGCCGTCAAATATATATATATATATATATGATAAATATTATAATTATAAATTCCTTACTATTAAATAACGTAACGTATTAAATAAACGTTACCGTGTAGTGGTGGTGTAAGAATATACCCTGCCCCATATCATCCCGTGGGTGTCGTAAGAGGTGTAGAGGGAAACAAATCATGCGACGGGCAACAACGTTTTCCTAAAACGACTAAAATTAAAATAACTGTTGCAACTATGGCAAATATCTCCCCTATGAGGCAATCAATGGAGGAGGCCTATGTTCAGGAGTAAACTATACGGCTGTAACGGTAAATAAACGTATAACATTATTATTAAAATAACAAAAAAACGAACGATTTTTTTTTACTAGATCCGAATTACTTACGTTTATAACCCATTTCTAAAAAAATATGTAAGAAATGTAAATTTTGACACCATTATGTCTTAATAATTAAATATTACATTACCATAAACATATTTCAAAATTACTTACTACCAACAACAATATCACTTATAAAAGTCTATAGTCTAAAGCGTTCGATGTCGCTATAGGTAGCTAGTTTATAGTATAGTGTAGTATAGCGCTATCGGTGTATTTAAACGCGTACGCGCAGCATCTTTGAGAAAAAATGATACGTCCTATCGTTAGGAAGACCCGGAGCGTACTGAATCGGATGGCGTCTATGTGTGATGATTTATAGTATTTTTAAAATAATCATATAAAATAATTGACTAAATGAAACGTGCAAAATTTTCTTTTGATATTTAACATTACCTGTACTTTGATAAAATAATTAAAATAGATAAGTTTATCCAAATACACAAAAAAAAAACATTGAAGTTGGCAGTTTTGGTGATTTTATAGTAGTTTTTTAACATTAAATCGAAATATTTTCGTAATTTAGGCTTCGTGTTGCATTAAAAGACTATGTATTCCATTATAATAACGTCTAAAATAAAGTATAGTTGTATTCCATTATATAAATAGTTGTAATCGACCTGAAAAAATAACTGACGCATATTTTCGTAAAACGCTATGTAGGGATTGTCTTCGCTCTAAAAAACCGTCATTAAAAACTATGATTTTGTTTGTTCTGCACTAAATCTTCATCTTTCTAAAGCCGTAATTTTCTGCAAATAATCTGCTCACATCGCGGGTTTTTTCCAGGGCAATATTGTAAATATTGCCCTGGAAAAAACCCTAAAACATGAAGTTTTCCCCTCATAATGTAGTAAACTTATTTTTATTATTTTTGGGGTATCTATATAGTTTTCTCATCTGGTTGTCTTCTATATAATTGTAAATGAAAATGATAAATAGACATAAATATCAATAAAATAAATGCATAAAAATACGTAAATGTTATGATTTATTTAATTAATTATTCAGGTTATAAGGAAGAAAATGTGGGAACTGTTGCCGGGATATGGTGTGGATGGTCGATTATTAAGGGCTGTGCAGTCACTTTACTATGACTGTAAAGCATGTGTGCGGGTAGGGCATGACCTGTCACCCATGTTTAGCGTCCAAGCGGGCGTAAAACAGGGTTGTGTCATGTCTTCCTGGCTGTTCATACTGTATCTCGACAGCTGTTTACGGAAGCTGAAAAATAGCTGTTTGGGTGTGAAATTGGGTGACATTAAAGTAAATTGTCTGCTGTATGCTGATGATGCAGTGCTTATTGCACCATCAGAAGCAGAACTGCAGGCATTAGTCACGTGTATGAAAGAGGAATGTGAAATTAAAGGTCTCCATTTGAATGCTAATAAAACTAAGGTTCTGGTATTTGAAAAGGACGAAGAGAGAACGAAATGTGAAATATGGGTAAATCAGGAATGTCTAGAACAGGTAAATGAAATTGTGTACTTGGGGAGTGCTTTCAGCCGGGATGGAAGATGTGATTTAGATGTGGATAGGCGTGTCGCTGCCGGAAACAAAGTCAATGGTGCCCTGAATGCATTAGTCAAAAGGCAAGGCGTGGTGAAGAGTGCACGCCTTGCACTACATAACGCAGTGTTGGTACAGACTTTGTTATATGGCAGCGAAACCTGGGTATGCCAGAAGAAGCATAAAAGCAAGTTGAATGAAGTGGAGATGCGATCTCTTCGTAAAATGTGTGGCGTTACCATAGCCGATCGAAAGCGAAACGAAGAGATTCGCAATATGGCAGGATTGAAAGATGACCTTATAACAAAAATTGATAGGGGCGTACTCCAATGGTTTGGGCACGTTGAACGAATGAGTGAAGACCGAATGGTGAAGAAAATATATAGAGCGAAAGTAAATATTAAAAGGTGTCGAGGTAGATCGAGACTAACTTTCGAAGACCATGTGAGCAAATTGCTCGAAGAGGGGAAGGTCAAGAGTACTCGGATACCTAGACGTGCATGTATGAAGAAGTTAATGAACCTGAAAGAAGCGAAAGAGGTATGTAAGGATCGTGACACTTGGCGATCTGTTCTCTCTGGCTACCCCGTTAGGGATTGTGCGTGAAGATAAATAAGTAAGTAAGTAATTATTCAGGTAAATACACCCATTTTGTTAGTACCCTTAAAACTTTAAAAATAGGGGTTAGTAAATTCACAGAATAAAGAAATTATTATACAACACAAAAATTATTATTTATTATTAAATATATTGGGCCTGGAACCCATATGCACATGCAGTGTTCCAGTATTTCGTCACATGGCAATTTTGCCTTCCATATATAGAAGGTAGAAGGCCGTTGGTGCTGTCTCGCACGCGACGCATCAAGGAGTCTATTCTATCGCATAATATTACTGCAAAGGTGTCCATGTGCCTCAGCAAACATACGCGATGCGCTGCAAAAGCGTGACAGCCCCAACATCCTGAATCCATTGTTGAACTGAATACGTAGCGCATTGACAGTTCGGCGAGTACACTTAGTCCAAAGGCTGCCTGCAGGTGTAGAATGTCTGACAGTAAGCTTTGAATAATGTTATCTTAATTTCATTTGTACACATAGCAAACTTGCGGGCAAGCATATTACACCTCACTACCAATGCATTACATTCCTGTTCAAAATCTAAATTGTCAGAGATCCTCGGCGACCCAGTGTCCCAGATATATTTGGTGACTCTACTCAGTGTAACTCCTCCAAGTGTGACATGAGGAACAGACTTAGGTTCTTATTAGAATTATATCTTGAGCCCATGAGCCGCCGCGTACCTTTTACAGGTGCCCACGTTTCGAGGGCCCTGATAGAAGGGCTCAGCAACATACACTTATAAAAAAATGTAGACAAGTTATACTCACTTTGAAAGCAGACAATGTCGAGAAGGCTTTTAGCCGAACTGCTATTATGAAAAAAGTTGTTATTTGTTTCCTTTGGAGATATTAAGTCCGTTTTACGTTCAGCAGTTGTATTACTGACATTGTTAGTATTTTTTTGTGGTATGTAAGCGCCCTGCGCGAACTTCCGCTGGGCTTGCACCTTTCTGTCGGGAAAAGAATACAATTTATAATGTTACTAGTACACTTATTAATTTAATTTTTATGTTATGAAAAACCAATTCTTACAAATCCTAAGTAAATAACATGTTTAATTACAAGAAGCCAACAATAGGTTCACACTAATAAATATACATTAACATAACCTTTCGTCGTCGTTCGAGTCTAATCCAAATGTACAAAATAAATTTAACAAAAATCGAAAAAAAAACCGATTTGACTTAAATTCAAGTTATGTGAAAGAAAACATAAACTTTTTGCGATATTTGTCATTTTTTTTTCTTTAACAAATGAAGCGATTTTGAAGCGATATGCGACCGCAAAACGTCGAGATCTGATGAAACTTCAATTTTCGAAATCTGAAGTGAAACTAATAAGTTCCCGATCTTTTAGAAAACCATTAATTTTCAAATGTTTTTTAACCACGACTTGGCTGAACTTTATTTTTTGTACTAAACTCACAATATTAATTATTTGATTTGTGACTGCACTCAATAGCATTGTTAACTAGAATTACATGTAAAAAACACTGAAATAATTAGAAATTTGTGATCACAGTACCTTAAAGTTTTAATTAAATGGTTAATGCTCGGACTACTCTGAAATAGGGTTAGGTTTTGGTAGGTAGATAAATAAAACTGAATTTCATGTCACAGAATAGTAGTTATTGAATTTAAAATTAGAATATTTAGATTGGCACGGCTAGGTAGAGTTTACAGGCCTAAGCCTCTCACGCACTAAGGTTTGAACATTACACTACGCGGATGGTAGAGAAGGTAGGCACCGTCCAAGAGTGATGACAGGCAACATTATAAAATGAAATTATGATACAAAAGAATATTACGGTAAGCTGTCTTTTACGAAACTCAAACCTAGATGACACTGTATATATATTATAAATCTCAAATAAGTGTTAATTTAAATGGTTTAGGTTTGGGCCACTCCGAGATACATTTAATTATTTTAAATGGTTTTCCTTTGTTTTGTGCGCTCTGCGACTGTGAATTGAATGTTTTGCCACCATAATTATAGCATGTCTCGAGCTAAGTGTTTGCATCCATTTCAATCTAATTTATAGAATCAGGAATATAGACTGTTAACTATGCCGCACCTGCCTCAAGTGTTCTCGCCTCCCTGAGTTACCTGAGAGTCCTTTTGTACCCTAACGTGCGCACCCTTGCGCATTTTCAGGGTTCATCTACCGAAGTCTTACCCCCCCCCCCCCCCGGAGGGTTGTGATTTTCGAAATCCCATAGCTCCGCGTCCTTGCTAACAAGGGTGTAGGAAAGCATCAATCGACGGATGGCTCAGTACCTAAGCTGCCAGCATTGACCAGCCAACCCACGTACCGTCACACGTGTGAGCCCCCTATCTCTACGTAGACAATATCTCTCATATAGGTTCTTGTTTAAAATAGCATGTTATTCACTCCATCCTCTCCTTTCCAAACTTCATTCCTTGTATACGTTGGTCAGGGACTCCCTCCCATACGAGGCTCTAATTTTCAATCCAAACAATATCCTACATATCGGAATAGATAAAAATACTATTGAAGCAAATAACAAATTAAATATACTCCTCCTCCAAAATTGGCATGATTGGTTAACTATGTATACTGATGCTTCAAAGTTAAGTGACGATGGATTAGTAGCGTGTGCAGTGTGGATCCCTAAATACAGGATTATTTTAAATTTTAACTCTCCCCCTGACTCATCTGTATTCACAGGTGAGGCTTTGGCTATTTTAGAGGCAGTTTCATATGCAGAATCACATGGTCTGAAAAGGACCCTCATTTTCTCGGACTCCCTTAGTAGCCTTTAACGTATTGTATCCAGTTCCTTTCACTCTAAGATTAGATACCCCCTAATTTTAAATATTAGAAAGTCTCTGTACTATTGTCATAAAAAAGGGCTGAACATTGTATTGGCTTGAATCCCTAGCCACTGCGGGATTCAGGGCAATGAAATTGCCGATAATTTAGCTAAAGATGCCACCAAATCTGGCTCTATCCCTAGACAATGCCTCTATGCACATGACCTCCTACCAAAGGCAAACTCCGGCCTTCTGTCTTCTTGGCAAAGTAATTGGCATCAGTCTAAATTTTTAAAATGTAATCACTATTCCAAAGTCGAAATTAATATCCCCTCAAAACCCTGGTTTTTTCAATATCGCCGCTTTAGTAAAGCTACCACCTCTACTGTTTGCCGCCTACGCTTTGGTCATGCTTGTACTCCTGTACACTTGGCCAAACTCAGGATTAGCGATAGCTCAATCTGTGAATGTGGGCTAGATGAAGAATCTGTCAATCATCTGTTCTTTGAATTACCTATACTTTCTTTCTCTCTCTACGATATCCTGCCCAATTACATCCCTCGTCCAGTAAATTTCCAATTTTTGCCGACTCTAGTGTATACTCCCTTCGTAAATATTTTATGTGCTTTTATTTGTACTAATAATATTAAACTGTAAATACTTAATAATTTCGGTTATGATATTTTTAATATATGACATCTTTTGTTGTAGATTGTGAACCCACTCATTAAATTGAGAACTCTTATTTTAACTAGCAGAATTTTATCAAGAGAAGCCATAATTTAAAAGAAGAAGAAGAAGAAAACTTATTTAAAAAAGTTTTTTAAATAAGTTTTCTTCTTCTTCTTCTTTTAAATTGAACTTATTGCCTAAAGGCCACTACCAACACGAAGAACAGAATTCCGTTCCCAGTTAAGATGTTATAAAACTCTCTAGTAGAATCGTATTTACAGTATGGTTTAGGTAGCTATGGTTGTACATATACTTATTTAAACAAAATATATAACCTCCAGATAAGACTCCTTAAAAACATTGTAACAGACAAAATTCGACGTCAATTTCATAATGATGATAGTATGCTCTTCAAGCACTGTAATATATTACCAGTTCATACGCAAGTCAAATATTTACTACTAAAAAAACACTTTTTTAATGAAGACTTAATATTAGAAATCAAGCACCCCGTGTGTACGCGCGCCGTAAGCAGCCGCAAGCTGCAGACGAGCCGTGCAAACAACATGTACGGGGAACAAATGGCAGATTACATTGTTCCACGACTTATAAACAACCTACCCCCAGAATTCTGCGACAAATTAAATATAAAAAACATTAAAAAAAAACTTAAATTGTACTCTTAAAACAGTGTTTATGCGTTTGCTCAGATCCTATTAGGCTGTAAATGCTTTCTCTTTTTCTTTCTTATATATATATTATTTCTTCTACAGTATGATTTTTATCCCATGGCAACGCTTACTTTTGGTTCTGGCAAAAAAGTTATGAAATATCTGTGAAAGCCAGAACTGTTCTAATGGTGGTCGGTTGTATTTTGCCATCTCTTCAAAATTTCATTGTGTGACTATTTTAAACTATTTTTACAGATTTGATGAACCATATTAAATGAAAAATAGTCTTCTATCCTTCTCTCTTGATTTCTTTCTTCTAAAACAAATTTAAGTTGGTAAAATCAAGACAAGAAACTGTCGCTTTTATGAAAAATTGACAAAACTTTGCTGATTTTATTATTATATTATATTATTATTTCAGAACGGAGCATTTAACCGCCATCTATTTGTTTAGATAGAACCTACATTCTCAAACCTACGTACTAAATAATCTTAAACATATCTATCATTGTTAGAGGTAGAAGATGATACAAAACAAGAAAAATAACAGTTCTCAAAACAAAAATAAATATATAAATTGTCGTCAGTAGTTCTGCCGATTATGCCGGTTGATCTCATAAAAACCTAAAAAATTGTCATCATATGAAGCACCAAAACAATTTGGGATTTCCATTTTAATGCAGGATGAAGATAATATTTATTTTTCTTTTTACTTATTTTAGCTATTAGCATAATTTTCAATTGTTTTAAAAATATAATTTAGTTATACATGGTAGAGCCATGCTGCTGTTATTAGTATAGTAGTAGCATGAATGGGTTGGCTCGACTGGGGAAGGACTACATTCTTAATGCTGCTGCGTTTCGTATGGTGAGTGTAAAGAACCGGAGACCCTTTTACTGGAAAAAAGGCATTCCATCTTAGTCCCCATGGGTGACAATGCATCTGCATTTTGATTTGTAATTGAATATAGATGTAGATGTCTATGGGCCACAGCAACCACTTACCATCAGGTAAGTGGTTGCTGTGGCTGTGTGCTGTGTGCTGGTTTGTCACCCTATCCTATAAAAAAAATTGTTAATTTAGCTATTTATGTTCCTACCTGATCATGTTGATTTATAAAAAGTCTAAAATCATGCCAAAGTTGTCAAACTATTAAAACCTAAGTAAAATATACCCAACTGAAATAGAAGATTACCTGTAAACTTTATTTATTTAATTATTATTATTTTGTAAGCATAAATATTTTATTGAGTACCTAAGTACAAATAAAATACCTAGGTACTTTAAAACCAAGTAATATTGATGATTTTTAATTTTTAACATGATATATAAGATGTATTATGTGTTAGTTACACTGAAAGATTTCTGATAACAGGAATAAATGTCAAAATGTCTGTCTAACTTTGCCTACCTTCTAAATAGAAAAAATTCAAAGTTTTACACTTTATGACACTGATAAGTAAGAATAATAAATCAATATTATAAGAGAGTGGTATCTGTTTATTTGGAAACACATTATCAATTATGATATTTTTGCCTAGGCAAAGTAGAGGTGATGCCAACAACTTTGCCTGGCCATTTTGAAGATAATATCTTAGAAAATATGATGTGTAGGCCTGGGTTATTTTGCAGGGTGCAATAATTTCAGTGCATTTTCTTCTTTAAATGTCATATAATATCATTTTTTCTATGCCTGTCGAGAAATATCACAAAAACCTCTAAATTCGCGCAAAGTTAAGGCATTTGACGGTAGCTGCATAATTTTAGACTTTAGAAACGCCTATTAGCACGTGGTTCACAACATAGCGAAAAAATAATATAATTATTTTGAAATCGAATAAAAATAAATAGTTAATATAATAAAAATAAAAATCAAAAGCAACAGCGACGCAAAAGCGGCCCTCGCCTTTTATCTTATAATACGCCAGCAACGCGACTTCGATCCCTGTCAGCACCAGTTAAATTGTGCATGCTAACAAATAAAATAAATCAAGGAGATGCGAAGTCCGCCAATACACAGCGCAGCGGGAAGCGACTCCATTATCCTCTCAGAAATAAGGCCTTTCATCAACACTAGGACGCGTAAACGCTATTACCTACATACTTCAATTTTCTGGATAAGAATTATCAAGCATTAAAACTAATTCCTTACCTTGTCGTAGTAGACATCGGCCTTACAACACTTATTTAAAATTAAAATAAACTGAGGTGCAACAGAAAACAACAACTTTCGGTTAAATGATGTACAAATAGTACTGAACGTGCACTGACATGCACAGTAATCTGTGGTATTCAACGACTGAAGTACTGAATAATTCTATTCGTATTCGGAGCGCAGAATATATAAGCCTGGTCGACTCCAGTGCTGCCAACATTAAAATCTGGCTTCCGTTGTAGAGAACACTATAATCCCGCCAAAACCCGTCAAGAAGGAATTTTCGATTATTCATTCCCCCCTAAATATTGAGATTTAATTGATTTGATATCGATTCTTGACACACATGGATTATTTTTTAGAATTCAATCTACCAACAAAAAAAAATATACATCCGTTTTATAATACCTATTACCGTCCCGTTAAAAAATCCGTTAGTCGTTAAACACAATTTTTTCCCGTTGCCAACCTCGCTAACCCATCAAATCTAAGTTGACAGACAGAGAAAACAAAAATTAAAAAGAAATGGAGAAAAAGGAGATGGTGGATGAATGCAATGCACCGGAACAGAACTAGGTTAGTAAACAAGGCACAATTAAGAACTTTTACCATAGGTAGAAAAGTCTAAACATAGGCACATATTATTATTACTATTATGATTATTTTTAATTTATATTTCATATTTTTGCAGACATAGTATGGAGCAACAATTTGTTGAACTCATACAAGAACCATCTGGAGAATTCGAAAATTTTCATCGAATGTCATTGACGGATTTTAATTACTTGCTTTCCAAAGTTCTGCCACTTATCTCTAAGCAAGATACTCATTTAAGGGAAGCTATACCTGCCAAGATTCGTTTAGCAGTCACTTTGAGGTTTTTAGCAACTGGCGACAGTTTTAAAAGCCTGCATTATTTATTTAAAATTTCAAGTCAGTTAATTTCAAAAATAGTAGTTGATGTTTGCAAAGCTCTTAACGACGTTCTCAAGGATGAAATAAAGTAGATGTTTAAGATTTTTGAACTATTTTATTACTAATTAAAATTACAATTAAAATGATGAGTAGGTATTATTCAGACTTATAGTATGCTTGATTTATTATATTATTCATAGGAGACGTTTTGTAGGGGACGAATCGAGTTTGGATTGTAGTTGGGCTGGTTACCGAAGAAATTTTATCGGCTGGCCTAATAACTTCATCCCTTATAATGTGAACCATTGAAGATTTTTCATTAAGGAAAGTATTTTCATTTGTTTCCGAGATATGTAACATGTATTGTCTTCCGTCAGTTCCATCGGAAAATGCTACAAATGAGTTGTGAGGCTCTGAAAATGATGAGTTTGGCCTGGAAGAAGTCATTGTGACATTAGGATAATTTCTACAAGTTGGTGTAGTACCTCTCTACACTATTCGCCTCGTCCAACTTCGATCTACTTCGCGAGTAGTGTAGAGGAAGCATTAGGAGATAGGAAGATAACTATCTCTGTCGTAATTTTCTACGTTATTATGGGTAGGTATGTTCCGAAATACAACCCAGTACACTGTTAAATGCTAATAACGTCATCAATTGACTCTATAATCCGTTCATCTTAACTTGACGCGTGAGTGATTGGTAGCACTGTTTCCTCAGTCGCCATCTTAATTTTTTTGATTGGTTGCTATCTGTGTGCTATTTTTCTTTTTAATAATTTAATCTCAGTTTTAAAAATTCCGAAAGTAGTTAAAAGTGCTAAAAGGAAAACTATTCTTCAAATTTACGCTTTTTGTAACAAAGAAAAGGCTGTAAACAAGCTGATTTTGCCATTGCAACATATTCGTGCCCAAGTTGCCGCCATCACCGGTTTGTTTTTAGGGTGACCAGTTACAAAGATTTAGATTAACTGTTGTTTTTGTAATTCGCTAAATGATATTAAAATATTTGTATGTAAAGAAGTATATATATTTTCGTAACGTCACGTATGTATTTTAATAATGTTACTAAAATATTTTAATGTTATTAACTACCTAAGAAAATAAAATTGCATTTGTTTAATGACTACAGATGTATCCGAATTTACTGTAACCCGAATTTTGAGATAAGAAAGAGAGATCAGTTCTGTTTCAAATATGGGTGGGCCTGGTCAATCAAAAGTAACACCTGGAAAGAAAAACGTTTATAGTTCATAAAAGATAGCTTGATCTCTGCGACAGCTGTCAGTAAAATCACGCCTGTGAAGTCCTGAATTTCTTAGTAGTACAGACAGTACCTCTCAATGTCATACTTTATGGGCATACCGACCTAATTAGTGCATGCGATGGTGGTTTTATCTTTTTTGAACCATAAATCGCGATACAAAGATCAAAATCGATAATACTGGTGCTGGTGCAACACATCAAAAAATTATGTCATTTTACGCTGTACGAAAAAAAATTGCTACGTTAAACAAATTACTTGTCGAATTGCGAGATGAAACAAATTTTGAAGGTGGGCGTACTACACTATGGAATATATTAAAACGACTCGGATATAAAGACAAAAAGTGTCAATCAAAACGAAAAATGTTTGTGGAACGAACAGATATAGCTGCTACCTAATTGTGTGATTGTGATGGACAGTGCACCATATGATAAAGTACAAATAAATAAAAGCCCTAATATGGCAAGCCCCAAAATAGATATGGTAGAGTGGCTTTAAAACAAGGGACTGTTGTTTTCACCAAATTTTGCCAAAAAATATTTTATGTGAATTAATAGAAATAAGTAAACCAGAGCCCATATATAAAGCTGACGAATTAATAAAATCACATGGTCATAATGCTTTGCGACTGCCCCCATATCTTGCAGATTTAAATTCAATTGAGCTAATATGGAGTGTTATGAAGAGACGGTTCGAAGAGAAAAAAGTGGGCCAGAGAGATGATTAAGTGGAATCCCTTATAAAAGAAACGTTAAGCTCAATAAGCGAAGAGATTTGGAAAAAAGAGTTCTCAGATGGTATAAAAATTTAATATGAAAAATAAAATAATAAATGAAGTAAGTAATCGATTTTTATTGTGGGTTGGCATTCTAACCTCCATGGACAGTGACGAAAGTGATAGTGACAGTGAGTGTTCAAGTAACATTGAAGAAGTTATTATCCCTTTACACCTTATTGATCATAATTATATAAAATGATGCTTTTCAACCCTCTCTTAATAAATTTATCCCGAATTTAACTATTGATATATGAATTATTTCAGAGAGTACACAATAACACTTAAAAAGTCACATAAGAATAGTCATCAGCACCATATCCATATCCGTAATGCCTTTCCCTGCATTTTGGGAACGCTATTCACATTGAAACATGCAACACTGTAAATTACAGTGCTGCCAATCGGATTACGCGTCAAGTTACGATGAACGGACAATATATTGTACCGGCGAGTCGCCGCCATATTGCGTCGGATATCCTGCCACAATAAAACAATTTTTAATTGTGTGTGCGCTGAATGAAGGATGCCAGAATTTGTTTCTATTTATTCAAATACAAAAAATTATAGAATAATTGCTGGTATATCCATTAGGAGGATATAATGATTTTTGGATCACAAAATGACAAAATAATCGCCAACACTTCTAAATGGCGCAAAAGTATGACGTCAAATACTGTCCAATGTTTTGGAACGAATCACCAGTGTAGCGTCGATTCATGACGTTATTTGCATTGGACAGTACACTGCATATATAGCACAGAACACATTTACCCTGACGGGATATATAGTTAGTAATCTATGGTACACTGCGTTGTATTTCGCAACATATCCCATATAGGGATGTTCCGATACCATCAAAGTATCGATACCTACTCATTTCCATAGTACTCAAATCTTTTTTCGATACTACTTATATAAATACTCCTAAAGTATCGATACTTACTGATATCGATACTTTTAGCAATTTTTTTTCACTAACGTAAAAACAATGAACTTTGAAGGACAATAATTAAAACAAAATTTTACACTGTTTACATTTTGCAACCGTTTCGTTTGTTTTAGTAAAATGTGTCCATATTATTGATTTTGGTGGTGCCATGATAACATTGGAATAATAAGTCGATGATTACAATAATTAAAATTACTCGTAAACAATCACTCAGTTTAAACAAAGTACGTATAGTTTTATTTGTTGACAATAACATGACAATTTAAATGGCGGGCGGGAAGGTGGCTCTCTCGCTTTCGGCTCGGCTCGGCTGAAGTCGGACAACTTCGGCTCGCGTCACTCACGCAGCCATGCGATGGGTGCGTTTGGCAGAAAAAAGCGCTATCAAGCGCTTACTAGCGCTAACATAGTTTTCGGCCAGGACACGATTGCTACTTCAGTAGCGCTGACACAATCCGCCATTTTGCTTATTTAATTTGTTTGTTTTGAAGTAGAGTTTATAAGTTGTTTTTTTGGAATATTAGTTTTAAGTAATATAATGACATGAATAGACATATACATGTTATTAAAAAATCATGATTGGTAAGTTTTTAATATGAATACATCACAAATATATATTTAAATTAGGTTAGGTTCTCCGGTTAAAACTAACATCGTGTCCTAGAGGAAAATAGCTACTAACGATTTGATAGCGCTTACTTACGATCGCCATTTTGCTTACAAGCGCTTGCTAGCGCTTTTTTCTACCAAACGACCTGTAACTGAGCGAGAGGGCTTTGCTCTCTCATTCTGACTGATGCGTTCGAAAAAAAAATTTTAATTGTTTATTTTGATTCGATTTGATACCAAGTACTTTTGTTTCGATACCGAGTATGTATCGTAAGATTGATTCGATGCTATAAATACTTGGTATCGAATCAAAAGTATCGAGTACCTACTCGTATTTACTAGTATCCCTAATCCCATAGATAAATAAATATGTAGCAAGCTAACAGGGACTTAAAACGTTAAAGTATCGTTACTTCAGCAAGCCAAATCGTTTTCAATATTTAGTATAACGTTTTAAGAGTAACAGAACGAAACTGTGACAGGCAAGTTAACGTAATAA